GCGCCCCTACCCCCAAGGCTTACTTTGGTACGTTCAATCAGATGTTTACAACACATCATCGTCATACACATTCCATATGTAGTTTGCAGGTGTTTTGTAAAAGGAAACTCGTGTAGCTGGGGTTTCAATACTCACCACTTATCAGTGGCACACAACGATTTGACTCCAACAGTTTTGGCCGGGTGGTTGGCTTGGTGCCCAGTATCCCCACAGTGACCCCCCTCATCCGTGCTGCAAAGCGTGCCCTGGCCCAAGTCTTCAAACGTGCTGGGGCCGACTTGCGGAGAGCGTGCCCATGGCCAGTTGTCGCGGTCACATGGCACCTAAAGCCCGGATCCAATCGCGAAGTGGGCCCTGCCCCACTTAAACAGGGCTTTGGGCTGCACATGTGACCGCAGCCTTATGGGGCTTTCAGACCGCCAACGCTGAAACGCGGAAGCCCCGCTCACCAGACGCGCATTTTCCGTTTTCAGACGCAGAGGACTTTACACCAGAACGTCCTGACGCGAGCCGGAAGTACCGGAAGTAGCCGGCCGGCTCTAATGCTAACTCTGTTTTTACATTAGTGTAAAAACCTGGAGTGTAAAAACCTGGAGAGTCCTGAAGCAGAGAGGATTCCACTGATTTTGGTCAAATCCAGAGAGATTCAAAGGACATCAGACCCACTTGGAACATGGGGGTGGAAACATGATTGTTTGGGGCGTTGATTTTCTGCTGTTTTTAAATTAAGGAAGAAATGGGGCCATAACACAGACAGATAGTCAGATGTGATGTGTTCCTGCGATGAAAAGAACCACAATCTACAACACACTGCGTGACATCACCCACTGCGTGACATCACTGTTACATTCGAGTTCAGACTCACTGATGAGGGAGGACTGCTCTTCACTCTTCACAGAAACAACTAAGAATTCTGGGAGCTCTTCCTCCTGTTTGAGGTTCTTCTCTTCCTCCTCTTCCTCGTGTTTGAGGCTCACTTCTGAAGGTTCCTCTTTGATCCAGTTTTCCGGAGGTTCCTCTTTCACTCTGGGATCAGGACTGAACCAGTCCATCTGAACACCTGCAGGGCACAGACACAGTCAATAGAACTGATGGAGATGTTTAGAGAGTTGGAAAGACCAGCAGGAGACAGAATCCTCTACACGTGTTTGTCCAACTGACGTCCAGTCGTCTGGCCAGGATTTCAAAATCACAGTCAGTAAAACCACCTCGAGTTCCCAGAAAGGCGTCATAGAAATAAAATATAATATTCTTACAAACACTGGCAGGGCTCGACATTAACGGTTGGCGCTTGCCCGGGGCAAGTAAAGGTGTGGGGGAAAGTGCGCTGTTTTAACAGGTTGCCCGATCGGGCAAGTGATGTGTTGCTTTAACGCATTCAGGCGGAGAACACATTTCTTCATATGGAGCCGGCTCCATTTCTCGTTTTTTGAATAATTTTCTTCATTGGAAGGACCATAGACGCCGCGGACAGGACCATAGACGCAAGGGCAGGACCAGAGACGCAAGGGCAGGACCATAGACGCAGCGGACAGGACCGTAGACGCAGTGGACAGGACCATAGACGCCACGGACAGGACCATAGACGCCACGGACAGGACCATAGACGCAAAGGGAGGACCATAGACGCCACGGACAGAACCATTGACGCAGCGGACAGAACCATAGACGCGAAGGCAGGACCATAGACGCGAAGGCAGGACCATAGACGCGAAGGCAGGACCATAGACGCAAAGGCAGGACCATAGACGCAAAGGCAGGACCATAGACTGTTAGACGCCACGGACAGGACCATAGACGCGAAGGGAGGACCATAGACGCCACGGACAGAACCATAGAGGGGTACTATATTGTGAGGCGTAATAATACGAGGAGCGCTTTGTCCGCGCACTAACACCCAAAGACTTCACTCCCGCTCACTTCCGTCAATAGAAGCAGCGTGACTTGTTGGAGTTAGTGCGCGGACATAGTGCTCCTCGTATTATTACGCCTCACAATATAGTTCCCCTTTTTATCCGCTGAGAAAATCGACATGTTACATTTCTGTGTTACTGTACTTTGTAGTGTAACACGTCACGTAACTGTATTTAAAGGGAACACGTGGAAGAGTTTGGTAACTTCTAACGGGAGCTGATTTGGAACTATACAGTCTATGGAAGTGGCTGCGTTTGTGCTGCGTTTGCATGACAGAGCTCACGGACAAAGACCAGACAGGTACATATCAACTAGTCTAAGGTAAGAAGAACATGTGTCAGTATGTAAACACGGAGGCCTGTTCCTTTAAGGACACAATACAACACGGTCCATAGTTAAAAGAAAGTATCCAAAACACACAATATATTGCATATTGAAAAAAAATATATATATATATATAATAAAATATATATATATTCATTAGGGGTGTAAAACGATTACAATTTTTAATAGAGTTAATTACGGCTTGAAAATTAATCGTAATTAATCGCATTTCAAATTATGGAAAAAATTATGCCATATTTTTCTGTAAATGGTTGAATGGAAAGATAAATGTCAACAAAGTGAACATAAGTAATGTATTTGATCATTATAACAAAAAAATATAAAATGGAATTAACATCATTAACATTCTATCTTTCTGTTTAGACTCAGAGCAAAACTATTGTTTGTTACAGATGAGGGACATTTAAAACAGTCTGAAATGCAGAATGTCATTAAATCTGTCATGAACTGGTAGTGGAAGGGAAAATTAGGTACCCCAGCTTTAATTTAGCGAGTGCGCTTCAGGAGAAGACACGGAGGAGACTGAGGCTCCGTAGTCCAGCTTCAGTGCTGTATGTACTGTGTTCACCGGTTACACAAAGACACGCACACTACAATCAGAATAGTTCTGTGCGTGGTCTTTGATATGATCACGTTACGCGGCGCCGTTCGCCGTGACTACAGCCGCTGGAGGAACCGCTGTCCAGAGCGCCGCCGCTCAGCTCGCAGACCATACAGGAGGAAACGAGTGTCTTCTTTTAAAACTTGGATTCCCAGAGACCTGCTCTGTCACCATCTCACACACACGTGTCCGCGGCATTCTGAGTGTTATTATGGGATGCATGGGCATGCGTTAATTGTAGGGCTGGGAACTTTGGTCGTTTAGTCGACTAATTGGTCGATGCCGTCGAGGTCGACCAAGATTTTCATTGGTCGACTAGACTTTTCCATGCAGGGGCTTTCAATTTCAGCATTAAAAGTTAATTAATTGCAAAACAGTAAAATTACAATGAGTGACATTTGTGCGATTTTAATATCGTAGCCTACTTATTTAGTAAGTAAGTAAGTAGACAGACTTTTCTTCCTATTTAAGTTTCGCTGCTGTCAATTAAGTGTATTACGCAACACCGCATGTGCTCAGTACACGTGCTTGGCAGACAGCACGGCACCGCAGCATCAATCTGAATCTCATCCGCATCAGTAGGCTATTGGCGCAAGTTATTTTGTTTAAAAATGTCTAGAAAGTCCAAGTCTTTCGTTTGGCAACATTATGTTGAAACAGACGACAAAACTGTCGAATGTAATTTATGTAAGCAAAAGTTCACTTACCACAGCTCGACGACAAACATGGCCTACCATTTGAAACAGGTACAGTATGCTAGATTTATTAAAGCTTGTTAAAGGCATCTGTGGACACTTGCGTTTAATGTGAATTATGTAAACTTTATAGGCACATCCCCAAGTCATACAAACACAAGATGCTGCAACAGGCACGCAAACTAAACTCGACATGGCCTATCCTCTGTCTGCAAAGAAGAAAGGCGAAATAACCAAATCCATTGTAAATTTCATTGCCAAAGATATGAGGCCATTGAATATCGTGGAAGGAGATGGCTTTAGAGAAATGATTAAAACACTGGAGCCAAGGTTCACAATCCCAGCAAGGAAGACATTGAAGGGCGAAATAACCGTGCGCTTTGAGGAAGTAAAAGAGAAAATCCATCAGTCTTTGCAACGTGCCCGAGCAGTTAGTTTTACTACAGATTTGTGGTCATCTCTGCGGATGGAAGCATACATAACGGTGACCGCTCATTACATAAATGCAGATTGGAAGATGCAAAGTATTGTGCTTGAAACAAGGCAAATGGAAGAGGCGCATACGGGGGCGAATATCGCGGCACGACTGACTGAAGTTGCAGACGCGTTTCGCATCCCTGAAGAAATGCGAGTTTCAGTTGTCACTGATAATGCTGCAAATATGGTCCTGTCTGTGGATTATTTAAAGCAATCGGGTCAGTGGCCTGAAGTGCAGCTGGTTCGGTGCGCAGGGCACACATTGCAACTATGCGTAAACAGCGCACTAAAGCAAGACCCCGTGTCTCGCATGGTGGGTGCTGCACGTCGCCATGTTGGACATTTTAAAAAGGGGAGCAAAGCAAAAACGGGGCTAAAAGAAAAACAGGAGCAGCAAAGAGTCCCTCAGCATGAATTAATACAGGACGTGGCCACTCGGTGGAACTCCACCTGTTACATGCTGGAGCGACTCATTGAGCAGCGCTGGCCAATTACTGCAGTTTTATCAGACCCAAACTTCACAAAGCGGGCAGACAGCAGCATATTGGATTTGACCACAGAGCAGTGGAATATGGCACAAGACGTTACGGCTGTTCTTAAGCCATTCATAACGCTGACAGAGCTGCTGTCACACGAGAACAACGCATCGCTATCAGCAACGATTCCTATGCTTGTTAATCTGAAAAAATGCCACCTCGTCGTCTCACAAGGCGACAGTCCCACAAAACGTAAAATGAAGCTTAAACTTGTGGAGGAAATAGACAGCAGATGGAAGCTATATGAACGACTGGTTATGACAAGCAGCGTTTATATTACAGCTGCTGTACTCGACCCCCGTTTTAAACTGCTCCCATTTCTCGAAGATGAGAAGCGCGATGAAGCTTATGTCACTGTGTCAGACCTGGCTGACAGGATGAGCGCGAGGGAATACGCGCACTGTGCAGGTGAGCCACAAGAGATCGACGGTGATGATGCGCCCGTGTCCAAAAGACAGAACAGACAAAGAGAAGAACACTGCGATGTTACTGTGTGGACAAGTTCCAGAAGATGATGATCCTGCTGTACAAAGAGGATCCAGTTCCGACGAAATGAAGGATTACCTTCAAGACCGAAGCAAATGTGACTCTACAGGGCCACTGGTGTGGTGGAAAGAAAACCAGGACAGATACCCCATGCTCGCTCTGGCTGCGAAGCGACTCCTCTGCATACCTGCCACCTCCACGCCCGCGGAACGCATATTTTCCAAAGCGGGATTTATTGTAAATAAAACCAGGAGCTGTCTGCTTCCCAACAATGTGGATATGTTACTTTTCCTTGCCCACAACTCGTCAAAGGTGGATTAAACCCCTAGCGGTGTACGTACACTTTTGGTTACAATTATTAGGTTAATAATTCTGTTGTTTGATTTCATTCAAATCGGAGGTAGGTGAGATGTAATATCTTTATTCAGGCTTTTTTTCGTTTTAGAACTTAATGGCAAAAAAAAATCAACGTTTATTAAAAGAGTCAAATATAGGCCTCGTTTAAGGCCGTATATGGAGCGACGGCAGGCCCGCGCACTCAGTTGTTTTGAAAGAAAGTTGATTATTTATAGCTATAATCCAAATTTTATTTAAATACGTATTTTTCTTTTTTATAGAAGTTATTGAAATATTGCTGTTAATTTCTATACTTTACACGTACTTCACACAAGTCATTGTGTGTGTGTTTTTATTGTATACCTGTAAATGTTTGGATCTTTGCTCGTTAATAAATGCTAAAAATGTTTAAAAAAAATAAACAGTCTTTTGTAATTTTATAATTGAAATATTTTATTTTCTCTTCTTTTTTTTTTTTTCTTTTTTTTTTGGTTGACTAATCGCTACATGTGCTATAGTCTTGGTCGACCAAGCATTTCCTTGGTTGATTACAGCCCTAGTCATAGAGACCGACCACAGAGGGAGAGACCACAGAGGGAGAGACCACAGATGGAGAGACAGCAGAGAGAGAGACCACAGAGGGAGAGACCACAGAGGGAGAGACCACAGAGGGAGAGACCACAGAGAGAGAGACCACAGAGGGAGAGACCAGAGAGGGAGAGACCAGAGAGGGAGAGACCAGAGAGGGAGAGACCAGAGAGGAGGGAGACCAGAGAGGGAGATACCAGAGAGGGAGATACCAGAGAGTGAGAGACCAGAGAGTGAGAGACCAGAGAGTGAGAGACCAGAGAGTGAGAGACCAGAGAGTGAGAGACCAGAGAGTGAGAGACCAGAGAGTGAGAGACCAGAGAGTGAGAGACCAGAGAGTGAGAGACCAGAGAGTGAGAGACCAGAGAGTGAGAGACCAGAGAGGGAGAGACCAGAGAGGGAGAGACCAGAGAGGGAGAGACCAGAGAGGGAGAGACCAGAGAGGGATAGACCACAGAGGGATAGACCACAGAGGGAGAGACCACAGAGGGAGAGACCACATAGAGAGAGACCACATAGAGACCGACGACAGAGGGAGAGACCACAGAGGGAGAGACCACAGATGGAGAGACAGCAGAGAGAGAGACCACAGAGGGAGAGACCACAGAGGGAGAGACCACAGAGAGAGAGACCACAGAGGGAGAGACCAGAGAGGGAGAGACCAGAGAGGGAGAGACCAGAGAGGAGGGAGACCAGAGAGTGAGAGACCAGAGAGTGAGAGACCAGAGAGTGAGAGACCAGAGAGTGAGAGACCAGAGAGGGAGAGACCAGAGAGGGAGAGACCAGAGAGGGAGAGACCAGAGAGGGAGAGACCAGAGAGGGAGAGACCAGAGAGGGATAGACCACAGAGGGATAGACCACAGAGGGATAGACCACAGAGGGATAGACCACAGAGGGAGAGACCACATAGAGACCGACCACAGAGGGAGAGACCACAGAGGGAGAGACCACAGATGGAGAGACAGCAGAGAGAGAGACCAAAGAGGGAGAGACCACAGAGGGAGAGACCACAGAGGGAGAGACCACAGAGGGATAGACCACAGAGGGAGAGACCACATAAAGAGAGACCACATAGAGACCGACCACAGAGGGAGAGACCACAGAGGGAGAGACCACAGAGGGAGAGACCAAAGAGGGAGAGACCAAAGAGGGAGAGACCAAAGAGGGAGAGACCAAAGAGGGAGAGACCAAAGAGGGATAGACCACAGAGGGATAGACCACAGAGGGATAGACCACAGAGGGAGAGACCACATAAAGAGAGACCACATAGAGACCGACCACAGAGGGAGAGACCACAGAGGGAGAGACCAAAGAGGGAGAGACCAAAGAGGGAGAGACCAAAGAGGGAGAGACCACAGAGGGAGAGACCACAGAGAGAGAGACCACAGAAGGAGAGACTATAGAGGGAGAGACTATAGAGGGAGAGACCACAGAGGGAGAGACCACAGAGGGAGAGACCACAGAGGGAGAGACCACAGAGGGAGGGACCACAGAGGGAGGGACCACAGAAGGAGAGACCACAGAAGGAGAGACCACATAGAGAGGGACCACAGAGGGAGAGACCACAGAAGGAGAGACTATAGAGGGAGAGACCACATAGAGAGAGACCACATAGAGACCACAGAGAAAGAGACCACAGAGGGAGAGACCAGAGAGGGAGAGACCACAGAGGGAGAGACCACAGCGGGAGAGACCACAGAGGGAGAGACCACAGAGGGAGAATCCTCAGAACTAATCACTGTGGTGCACACCAGCTACAAGTTTTCTTTTGACTTTGACTGTGTTATAAAATATTTTAAAATAAAACTTTCTTGATCTCACTATGGAGAAATGCACATGTTACATAGGATTAGGGTGTGAAAAAAGACATGTGAAAATATATAAAATATAGCAGTAAGTTTACAGTCCTAGTGCAGGCCGTTAACGGTGTTGATGTTGTTGGAGTAAACTGGCGGCGCATGAGAAAGCGAAAGGTGAAGCGTGTGTTTGGGAGGACCTGTTTCTGTGGTGACTGAACGTCTGTTTCCATTTGACAGATGTTAAGATAAACTGCAGGAGTCCGAGGAGCAGCCCGCCTCCCTTTGCTTCCGACAAACCAGAGGCCACAAACCCAAGCCAAGCGCACACCTTTGACCTTTCAGCTGTTCAGGTGAAGAGCGAGGAGCTGGAGGAGCAGTCCCCGGAGGTGCACCACATTCTCGATGCTTTAGGCGAAAGCAAAAGCACCGAACCCCAAGAATACGTCTGCAAAGATCCCCAACAGAAGCAGGACTTTCACTTCAACCGCCTGCAGCGAAACGGTTACGCCACGGACAACGGCGAGGACTGGGGCAAGACGGCCAGCTCCGAGACACGCGTGGGGTCGGTACAGGACAACGCCAAGGGCTACGAGCAGTACATCATCCATCACGGCGACTTTCTCAGCAGCGGAAAAATCAGGGAGCATCAGTGCGGCGTGTGTGGGAAGGTGTTCACGGGGCGGTCGCTGCTGAAGAGACACTCTGTCGTTCACACGGGGGAGAGACCTTTCAGCTGCTCAGTTTGCAACAAGGCCTTCACGCAGAACGCCCACTTGAAGATGCACATGTACATCCACACGGGGAACATGCCGTACCGCTGCGTGCTGTGCTCGCAAGGATTCACGCGCCGAGACTTCTACCTCAAACACCTGATGAAGCACAGGGACAAGCGGCAGGCGATGGAGTCCCGGCAGTACGACCGCAGGCTGGGTCCCAAGTTCGCCAGGCTCCAGGAGACCGCGGGCGAGGCCAGCGGGAGCCGGGCGGAGGCGAGGGGCGCAAACGTCATGTGTCTGTTCAGCTGCTCGCTCTGCCAAAGAGGGTTCATGACCAAAGACGCAATAGAGAGACACATGAGGACGCACACGAGAGACGAGGCTGTGGACTAAGGCCGTCTCTCCCTCTGTGTTTGTGATCGGACAGAGCTGTGACCAAAGACCCGAGCATGAGCCATCAAAACCCCACGAAAGAAATTGTGTGCAAGGGTTAATGGGTCAGTATGCAAATTTGAATGTGGAAAAATACTGATTTTGAGATCCACTCCTAGACCAAGACCATAGACCCAGAACTGTAAAGGCCCCGGGCTGCCCACTCACAGTCTCTAGTGATGTAACAACATTGAAAATATTGCGGTAGTGCCTCTTTTTGTTGGGCATGCCCTGAACCCCTCTCCAGGGAGGCGTCCCAAACAGATGCTCGAGGGTCCTCAACAGGCTCCTCTTGACGTGAATATCTATTTTAAGCTCCTCACGCTGTCTCTTCATATAAACCAGGATAGATCGAACTTTCCTGCTTTAGAACTGTGCTTTACGAGTAAACTTGCTGTGGCTCTTATCAGGGACATCCTGCTTATTAGAAGAGCTTATTGTACTTGTATTTAGTGGTAAGGGGAAACCGGAGCACCCGTAGGAAACCTACATGGTCACAGGTAGAACATGCAAACTGCACTGGAAGTCTAGACCTTTTTGCTGTGAGGCGCCTGCTGTTCATTCTTTTTTTTTCTACTGTTTTATCTCTAGTTTTACAAATATTGTTCCAATAAAATATTGTTATTATTATTATTTAAACAGGTTTCAGGATTTGGTGCAAATCTGAGAAGAATAAAACATTTTGAAACTGAAATTGTTTGAGTTTATGGAAAAATAATAATACTGAAGTATGAGAAAGAAACTTTATGATATACTCTCAGACACCTGCAGTGAAAAGATAAAACCATAAAAAACATGAGGCTGAGGACAGATAATACCAGCCGAGGAAGAGCCATCTGAGGAGCCGTCTGCACTAGGATCAGGGAGAAGCCACAGGGAACGAAGCCGCGGCTCCAAACCTCTTCCAGATCCAAGAGGAGATAAGTACGCCCAGTTTCCACCAGCCCGACTTAGCCCTACTCTACCTGGTTGTGTTTCCATTATGCTTCAGTATCTGGTACTGTATCCTAGCAGCCTGTCCACAACAAACCAGTATTCTGGGAAATTACTTGGCAACCATGGCCTCCAGTTGCATCACTGGCTGTTACAACACTATGACTAGCTCAGCCTGAAAAGAGGTTCCAGGCAGGTACCAAAAAACGGTGGAAACGCTCCCAATCGGATTAGAGTAGAGCTGAGTAGGGCCAAGCAGTAAATATATATAATTTACTGTAGATATAATTTGTCCCGTTCAGAGATGGCTCATTGTTATGTTATGTTATGAACTCGTGGATCTATTATTTATTTTTATTTATTTCTTTATTTCAGTAAGAAAAGTGTTAGAAGAAGAAACCCAAAACCTACGTTTACGCAGCGCAGATTGACGTCATTACGCTAATCCAAAGAATGCGGAAGTTTACCGTGCGTCTTTGAGAAGCTAACAACAAGCCGCATTTAAAGGCAAACGAGCTAAAAGCTAACCGGGGCCGAAGTTAATCCATATTTACAGTCTATGGTTAACCCCAGCTAAAGGCTAACCAGAGCTACAAGCTAACAGGAGCCGAAGTTACCAACGGTTAAAAATAACGGTGTGAGGGGAACATGGACGTGAGCGAGAAGCGGCGCAGTCTGCTCCGGGCTGCGGTGACCGAGCGGCTGGCGGCGGCTGCGGAGGAGATCTTTGCGCTGGTGGAGAGGACCATAGCCGAGTACGAGGAGGAGATGTGTCGCTGCAAAGAGGAGAACCAGAGGAACCGGGAGGAGAACCTGAAGAACCGAGAGCTGCTGGACTCTCTGCTCACCGCGCAGCTCATGCAAACAGGTCTGAGCATTTATCTGTGCAGGCGCTGTGGGGATTAAAGCTGGGGTACCCAACTTTCTAACCACAACAATGGAGCCCTAGTCCTGGCTCTTCTTTGCTTCTATCACTTGTTTTCCCCCCCGTGCATCTTTGGACAGTTCTGTTTAGTTTATTACAAATACAAAATAAAAACATGCATCATAAATTGCATAATTACTGACACTGCATATTTGTAAATGGACAGAATACCGGGATCTCCTCACTCAGTCAAGCAGCTCTAAGCCCAAATAGTCAATTAGTGATTCACAGGGATTTCTTTCTTTCTTTACAAATATGTTTTGATTTTTGTATTTCACTTTACAAAATTTTTACTCTTTCTGTTGATTAAATTACATGTAATAATGAAGGGCTATGGATGTAGGTTTAAAGTCAGGTACTCCAGCTTTAGTTGTCTGTCTCTAATTCAGGGGTGTCAAACTGATCCTCAAAGGCTGGTTTTAGTTCCGAGCAGGAGCAGGAGCACACCAGACCACCCAGGTTAGAGCAGCCACGCCTGCCCTTTGAGGACCGCTTTGACCTCCCTGCTCTAAAATTACACTCCTCACTAATTGAACATGTCAATATTTTACCATAAGTGAAAAAAAAAATGAAAAAAGATCTATATATTCCTCCTATCAAATCAAGAACACGTGAGAGTGAGCACCACTGGTTGGAATGAAAATCGTTCCTCTCTGCCCACGAGCAGCATTGGTCCCTGGGAACTGCTCCTGACAGAGGTCCCAGAGACATAGAAGGGGAAATAATCTAATTCAATCCAATCTACTTTGTGCAGATGTTGCAGCGGCGAGTCAAGGAGAGGCTGGGGATCACTCGAAACATGAAATAGCCGAATCGGTTCCAGTCAAAGTGGAACCATCTGAATCTGACTCCATCCCTGACTGTGTGAAGCACGAAGCGGGATCAGAGCTTCCGGACAGCGGCCCCGCACTGGAGCGAATGCACCAGGACTCCTCCCAGAGCTCCTCCCAGGGCTGGCCTCAGCTGTGGGAACCCCCGGCCTCCACATCCGCTGCAGACGCAGAGACTGAGAACCATTACGACCACATGGACATCCCAGACATGAGCCCGGCGGCCTTCAGCGCAGCCATGTTTGTCGGCTCGCCTATGTTCGCCGTTAAAAACCACAGCGCGCATTTATTCGCCGCTAAAAACCAAACAAAAGTCTGCTCCTTCTGCGACAAGACTTTCTCCACGAACCAGAGCCTGCAGATCCACATCCGGGTGCACACGGGGGAGCGGCCTTTCAGGTGCCCGTCCTGCAACAAGAGCTTCACGCAGAAGTCCCACCTGAAGACGCACACACGGACTCACACCCGAGAGAAACCGTACCGCTGCCTCGTGTGCCTGCGCTCCTTCATGCACAAGGTGTCGCTCAATATGCACGTGGAGAAAACACACATGCACTCTGTGGGGTGAGGTACAGGAGCGAGAGACCAGAGAGAGACCAGAGAGAGACCAGAGAGAGACCGGAGAGAGACCGGAGAGAGACCGGAGAGAGACCAGAGAGAGACCAGAGAGAGACCAGAGAGAGACCAGAGAGAGACCAGAGAGAGACCAGAGAGAGACCAGAGAGAGACCAGAGAGAGACCAGAGAGAGAGAGACCAGAGAGAGTCACGGTCGAGGATCTCACTTCTGGTCGATGCATGGTTCTCTCCACCGCGGTGTAGGCAATAATTAAGAACTCTCTCGAGTCTCTCTCTGGTCTCTCTCTCTTTTGACCTCTCTTTCTCTTTCTCTGGTGTCCCTCTCTGTTATCTCTCTCTCTCTTGAGTCTCTCACGGACAAATGAAGAGGTCAGTGATCGCGTGCTACAGACTTACGCCGGGTTCTCACCGGATTCAGGCTTGAACTTGTCAGGCTCTGGTCGGGTTCGGACAGAATCCTCTCAGGTACGGGCCCTTTACGGCTCCAGAACAGACCCTCTTTTATAACTGTTATCTTGTTTGCCTGTTCTATGGTTTTGTATTGTGTTTTATCTGTTTGAAGCAGTTTTGAAGTGTTGCAAGTGGTTTCATGGACACCACACTGGTTTACGAATGCTTCCGATGAGTTGTGTATTTGCGGTCTCTGGTCTCGTCCCTGTGACCTGCTGCACGACTCGGATCAGGAGAAGAATCGAGTGCAGTGACCGCCGACCAGACTGAAGTCCTGGCTTGTTCAGGACATGACTTCTCACTGTAATTAAGGGGTAAAAAGAAATCCTTTAGCTTTACGGTTTTAAAAACATCTCAATAGTATTATTTGTACAAAAATGTTCTAAAAAACCAGTAGCAGATTTCAATGGGAGAAACGTACGGACAATTCGTCTCCTTTGAAATCCTTCATGATGTTATCTGAAAACCATGAAAAGAGGGCTTTAATCTCTCTAAGGTCCATCTGATTATTATTATTTTTACAGACGCTAGAAGATTAAACTCAAAATCGACTTAACGACTTAACTTTTTTTCTCGTTCATGTGATAATGATGCAATATTTCGCTCTTCCTAAATGTACAGTGGGGCAAAAAAGTATTTGGTCAGCCAACAATTGTGCAAGTTCTCCCACTTAAAAAGACGAGGGAGGCCTGTAATTTTCATCATAGATAAACCTCAACTATGAGAGACAGAATGAGAAGAAATCCAGAAAATCACATTGTCTTATTTGTAAAGAATTTGTTTGCAAATGATGGAAGAAAATAACACTTTCACTTTTTTCAGTTGCTGGTATTTTGGCCCATTCCTCCATGCAGATCTTCTCTAGAGCAGTGATATTTTGGGTCTGTCACTGGGAAACAGACTTTCAACTCCCTCCAAAGATTTTCCCAATCCTCTTCTGGGTCATCCAGAGCAAACTTCAGACGGGCCTGGACATGCACTGGCTGAAGCAGAGGGACACGTCTGACACTGCACGATTTGAGTCCCTGGTGGCGTAGTGTGTTACTGATGGTACCTTTGTTACTTTGGTCCCAGCTCTCTTCAGGTCATTCACCTCATGTTGTTCTTGCGTGGAGCCCCAGATCCAGGGAGATTATCAGTGTCTTGTATGTCTTCCATATTCTGATCATTGCTCCCACAGTTGATTTCTTCACACCAAGCTGCTTACCTATTACAGATTCAGTCTTCCCAGCCTGGTGCAGGTCTACAATGTTGTTTCTGGTTTCCTTTGACTGTTTGAGGTTGTGGACCGGTGTCTTTCATACTGTAATCTGATTTTCTAGATTGTCTTTTCTCATTCTGTCTGTCATAGTTTTGAGGTCTAGCTCTGATGAAAATTACAGGCCTGGCTCATCTTTTGGAGCGAAGGAGAACTTGCAACATTTGTGGCTGACTACATACTTTTTTAAGTTTAAGATTCAGAGGCGTTAAAAACATGTTTACACCGAGGCGCTGATGAGAGCTTCAGTAAAAGGTCATCATTTCAAGGTTTTGTCTTCTTTTGTTTTTTTTTTTTACAGATTGTTTATGGATTTGATTAGATTTGCTCCATGACTTGTGTTTGTGTTTCTTTTGAACAATATTCTAATGTTTATAAAACTACTGTATCTAGTTGATTGATTCAACATTCAAGAGAAATAAAAAAAGCTGAAAAAACTATCTCATCCATAGACTGTAAACAGATGGACGATGCTAACCCGCTAGCTGAATGAAGCCCGATAGGGAAGTGCTCAAGGTGAAATTTGGCTCTAACTCGCTCTGGCTCCTATCGACTTGCATTGTAAAGAACCTCTATCTCAGTAACCGTTTGTGTCAGACTGAATATTTTGGGTTTTAAAAATCCGTTATTTAGCATTATCTGTGATGCTTGTTTATATTTTGATACTGTCTTTGTAAGTCGAAATATGAGGCACAAAGGTTGACCAATATTTATTGACAATTGTTTTAATCTTTCCACAGTTCCAGTCGTCAGCAGCACATGTTTGTAGAAACAGCATAAACTTCATTAATTTTAATATTTCTCAGATTTAAATCATAATAATGTGGGTCCAAGCATTGACCCGTGAGGTACCCCACAAATCATGTCCCTATGATCACTCCAAATATTTTTTAATCGCTTATAGACCATTCAGATAAATTAAGTTTAAAAAAAATCTGTATAATTATCTGGATGGACAAGAGGAAGTTAAAAGGAGCTCTGTCTGGAAGCTGATTCAGACCCTCAGATTTTAGCATAAATTCAGCACGGTTTTAGCTGAAGAGGCTCAGAGCAGACCTTATATAGCTGTACCCACGGTAACTGACCAATTAGAAAAACTTTATAGTTGTTTCGAAAGCACTTTACAAAGTTTTTGATCGTTGAGAGAACAACTACAAAAACCAGTAGGATTTTTTAAGGAACCTCAGGAAGGTCCATTTTGAGAGAGGAATCTGCTCCCACAGACGGGCTGTAGATCCAGGACTGAGGCTGTAAACCCAGGACTGAGGCTGTAGATCCAGGACTGAGGCTGTAGACCCAGGACTGGGGCTGTAGATCCAGGACTGAGGCTGTAGACCCAGGACTGGAGCTGTAGATCCAGGACTGAGGCTGTAGATCCAGGACTGAGGCTGTAGATCCAGGACTGAGGTTGTAGATCCAGGACTGAGGCTGTAGATCCAGGACTGAGGCTGTAGATCCAGGACTGAGGTTGTAGATCCAGGACTGAGGCTGTAGATCCAGGACTGAGGCTGTAAACCCAGGACTGAGGCTGTAGATCCAGGACTGAGGCTGTAGATCCAGGACTGAGGCTGTAGACCCAGGACTGAGGCTGTAGATCCAGGACTGAGGCTGTAGATCCAGGACTGAGGTTGTAGATCCAGGACTGAGGCTGTAGATCCAGGACTGAGGTTGTAGATCCAGGACTGAGGCTGTAGATCCAGGACTGAGGCTGTAAACCCAGGACTGAGGCTGTAGATCCAGGACTGAGGCTGTAGATCCAGGACTGAGGCTGTAGATCCAGGACTGAGGCTGTAGATCCAGGACTGAGGTTGTAGATCCAGGACTGAGGCTGTAGATCCAGGACTGAGGCTGTAGACCCAGGACTGAGGCTGTAGATCCAGGACTGAAGCTATAGATCGGACTGAAGATGCTTCCAGGTGGGGAAGGTAATGTATATCATTTCACAGTTGCAGGTCAAAGAAGCCAAGAGGTAAATACAAAAAAAGTAGTTAGTTGCTTTGGCTCAGACGCTGAATGGTCACGTGAGTATTTTTGCTTCTCTGGCAACCCAGCACAGTAGCTAAGGATGCAGTTTTCAGTCTCTGTGCAGGACTCATAGGGACAGTTTAGTTTATAGGTAGTGTCAGGGATGAAGCAGACAGAGACGGATCGTGGTGCGCCAAACTCTGGAAGTTTATTTAAGTTTCTCTCAAGTTCCACTGGTTTCCTTTGCTTCTTTCTCTCAGTCAGAATGGAGTCAGTACACAATTTATATAGTCATTGTCACGTCACACATCGAAAGACATACTTGTCACAAAGAGACAGTCTAATCATAGTCATAACATGGAGTCCTTGTAGAGTCCTGCACGTAGGCCATATTGCTCACTAATACTAACAGTAGGTATATCTATATCTATATATAGATATAGATATAGATATAGATATATGTGTGTGTGCGTGCGTGTGAATGAATGTGTATGCATGCGTATACACCATAGACTGTATGTATAATAGATCCATGTTACACACACGTAAGAGGTAGTGTAGCTCTGGTTCACACTCCAATACAGTAGGTGGTGGAAGTGCACCTATAACTTGAGTGCCACCCGCCGATAAAGCTGCACCATGTATCTATGCTGCACAAAGAAGAAGAAGAAGAAGAAGAAGCTGCAGCACAGTGGCTGATCCAAGATGGCGGCGTGGTGGCGCTCGCGGGAGGCTGAGAGTCAAACATCTGTAGAAACTCACGGTAAGAAGAACAGTTTCTGTGTTTAGTTAAACGTATTGAAGCAGATGAACTTTATACAAAACATGTGAAGCGTTAGATGTTGATGAATGTCCGCTGCTCCTGAGCTCAGACTGTATCGGCCTCAGCACAAGTTCTGGCTTCAATAATAAACAATAAGAAAATACATGGAGTCAGAGACAGTCTTATCTGTGCGTTGTTGTCTTTCCCTGTTTTTACATCTATGGACCGTTTGTGTTCGAAATAAAGTTTTATTTTTATTATTTCTAACATGTACGAGATATAAACAATTATTCACAGGAAAATAGAAAAGCTGTGCATGGTTTGAAACAGGATTGGCCGAAGCATAAAGCTTATAATAATCCAATCCCCTCCCATCTATTCAGACACATACTGCAATGTAATACGAAACAACTAAAACAAATCAGAATGACTCTCCTTCCTCCACATATATTAGTAGTCTTACTTACTTAAACAGTTTTTTAATTGAATGACATTTTTGTTTATTAAGTTTTATTATTTGAGTTTGATAATAGTAAACATGCATGTGTTTATTTC